CGGCGGCGGCCGGGGCATGCTGGGAGTTGTAGTTCCTTTGGGGCTGCCGGGCTCGGGCCCCCTGGCCCCGCGAAACCTGCATAGTTATAGTTTTCCATAGTGTACGTAGACTCAACGACTCTGAATTTACGCGTTTCAAAAAGCCTGGTGACGTTATACGTTAGAATTAACTGTTGGTGTTGAGGCAGGCTAGGCAGAGCGCACCTGCGTTAAACACTAGCCTGGGTAAAGGGAGAAGAAGTCTGGAGAAGAATACTAACGATGACCACATCTCTCTTGCCCAGTATGCGCTTGGCACAGTGGTAGCTGCTACTAAGGCGTCTAATGGGCTTCCTCAGCCTGGCGACGAGTACGACTTCTACCGAAGCTTCCCTGGATTCCGGGCGTACTGTGAAACGCAAGGCGACAGGCTCCTCCACTGGTAAGGGTGCGCCAGCTTCTCTGTGCCGTTGCTGATAGCTTCTAGTCCACAGCGGAGACTAGCACCCTGTGTTGGAAACTGCAGAGTAGCTGTAGGTAAAGAGGTATTTTATTCCACGTACCTAGCTTTTAGCTGCTTTTCTAGCACTTCACAGTTTAAGCAGCGAGCTTAAAAAGGACGTTTCATAATGTTTTGGGTGAAGACCCGTGGAATAGAGGCGTGTATAAAGGGTATATTTATTTCTCTGTTGAGAAAGTTATGAGATTTCTAAGGAATTCGTACTACAGTTAGTACTATACGGGGGCTTATTATATTTATTGCTCACACAATGTTATCTGTAGGTATTACGTTTGGTTTATTTTCAAAATTCTGCAACCTAGAAACTTTAAGAGAGTTGGATGGGAGTTTAGTGTTCATCGCGCCTGCCTTGAGATCACTAATCGCTGTGCTATTCTCTTGGGAGCATGAGCAAGGTGATGCAATACCATGGCTGCCGCAGCCACATCAAAGATCGCAAAAAAGTGACAGAGCTGGAAGATAAATTTGATATGCTGGTTGACTCTAACGACGTCATTCTTGAAAGAGTGGTAAGCAAATTATTCCTGCATGCTGCTGTTATCAGTTATTCAACTGCCGTGAGTTTTGTTCATTACAAGAATTTCAGTGACAATACCGCTACCGTTATGTTTAATGCTTTTTCAGTCTTTCCTTTATGTTTAATAATGTTGCCACGTGCTAGACTAGTGTATCGTTTTGTGTTCAAAGCTGAGCAGTTAAGTCGTGGCCCAAAGGAGAGGAAGGTAACATGTGACCTGTGAGGAAAGTAAATGCAGTTTGGATCGAGAATCTTATAACCTAAGAACAACTCTCTAAAGTTGTAGAGCTGCTTCTCTGAGGAAACTCTTCCTAACCCCTGTCATTCCCATACCGTCCTCACGCTTGGCTGTCTCACGTTGTACAGAAGTGAGAGGGAAATGGTGGTGGAGGCCTCTGTGTGTTTTTCTTTATTCAGTCTGACTAGAACGGCTGAGTACAGTGACTTAACAGATGCTTGGTTTTCAACTCCTTTTCTGGAATTTAGGGTATTTTATTGGATGAAGCAGCAGGAGTGAACAAAAACCAGCAGCCTGTCCTCCCTGCTGGGTTGCAGCTCCCACAGACAATCATTTCCAGCTGGAACCGCAAGGTGAGGCCTCTGTGCTCAGTTTGCTGTGTTATCTTGAACGTTTTTCCCAGCACTGACGCTACGGTGTTTCCTGTGGAGTTCAGTAGTCAAGCGTACCCTCAGATTTTGTAGCTGTGTGAACTCCTTTTTTTTCCTCTTTATTCAAATTTAATTCTAGATTCTGTGTGCTTTGACTTGTCATTTCACTTTCATGCACACAACAGCCATCCGCTTACTCTTTTGTATGAGTTCAGGAGCCTGAACTTGAGCACTGCCGTTCTCGAGTACTGGACTCTTACTGCAAAAGAATGGCTCATTTTTAAGTTTGACGTATACTTTTATTGCTCTGAGTATTGAGTCGGTCTGAGTAAAGGAGACTCTGAACAGCTGTAAGTGATACGAATTTTACTTGTGTATTTTTGTTTTGCTTTTTAACAGGGAGGAGAATCCCACAAGAGAACAAAATCTGAAACCTTCCGATTGCTTCATGCTAAGAACATCTCTCGACCGCAGCTTAAGTTTCGGGAAAAGATCGACAATTCCAACACACCCTTTGTACCTAAACTTTTTATCAAGCCAAACGCTCTGAAACCTTTGCCTGAAGGTAAGAGATTTATTTTTTTTACTGGGTGAATTATTGAGAACGTTTGACATAAATCTGTCCTCACAATCCGGAATAGAAATCACGGGATGTAAGAACAAACAGCAGCAGCAGAAGACTGACCGTTTAGGTGTAGTAAGCTGTGTGACTCTAGTAATAGTTTAAGTACATGTGGTGTAAGAGTTGGTCAGCATACAGTATCTTCTCGCTGATATGCAGGAAGTAGTCTGTTCCGAACAGGTATTCTGCTACTCTTCTCTGCCACCATCGGACATCCATCACCAGAGTCCCTCTGACACTAGCAGTAGTGCTGACTAGTCTATAAGTCCGGCTGGCTTTACAGATGGGCTGTAATTTTTCTAATGAGCATGTGTGTACGGGGGCAGGCAAATGGTTAGACCTAGCTTGGCTTTGGCTGCTTTATCAAAGCTACCAGCAAGACATTCCCGTCTTGGCAGCTTGTCTTTCTGCCACTGGTGATTCATTTTTAGTCTGCACTGGTGCAGTGGTATTTTAGATACCGGGGAATGATAGATTTCTCTGAAACCAGAGCAGTCTCCTTCCAAGCTTTTGCGCAAAATCACCTTGCATCTTGATTAACAACATACTGATAATACTTAGAACCAAGTTGTCACGTGAGTCAGAAATCTGGCTGACAGCAGAAGGGCCGCAGGTCTGACTTGTTAAGATTTTTTGATACTTAAATGATTGTAATAGGTTCCTGTGGTGGGTGGAGGGGAGAGAATAATGGGCTGAGAACTCGTTATGTGTGGGACCCAGTCCAGTTGTTCCATATTGGTCATTCAGCCCTCACAAAAAGCGGACGGGACCGAAAGGAGCGCCCTGAAGACTTGGATGTACCAGCTGCTTTGGCAGACTTCATCCACCAGCAGAGGACACAGCAAACTGAACAGGACATGTAAGAAATTAAGCTGACAGCCAGGTGCTTGGAGTGCCCTTGGTGAACATGCACTTGTGTGGTCCCTTTGCGCTGATGGCGTTCATGTGTAGCAGCTCTGCATGTGTTTGTGTCTGTACACTGCGTTATGTGTGACTTTAGGCATCTGTAGTTGTTTTAAACCCACGCTTAACCGGAGGCAAAATTTCTAGTCAGTATGGAAACTGCCATAGCTCTCAAAGTCTGTGGGCTCTGGCTGTGTGTAGTTGACTGAAACTTAGTGTGTGCCTGTTTTCCTAATTTCTGCAGGTTTGCTCACCCTTACCAGTATGAACTGGAGCATTTTTCTCCACCGGATGGAGTTCTCAAGAAACCAGATCTCCAGGTTGGTGCCCACGCTAATTTAATAGCAGATGCAGTAAGTTTACAGCAGGCCCTACTTGACAAGTTTCAGAGTTAGGGTGTGCGTGAGGGGAGGGGATTGACTTAGGGCATGAGTTTTGGGGAAGGCAGTACCGATACTAATAATTTGCTTTGCCAGATGTACAGGCCCATCAAAGAAACGCCCTGCCATTTTGTCAGCACACTGGATGAGCTGGTAGAACTGAATGAAAAGCTTATGAACTGTAAAGAATTTGCCCTGGACTTAGAGGTAATCCATTTACCTTTTCTGTTTAGAAGTTACGTATGTGTTGTTAGCATCTAGGAGACTATTGTATTCTTCTACTGTTTCGTACTCTTTTCTCGTTCTCCTCCTTTTTCCAACATACTTTCTTACATGGATTTAAATCATGACACTGACCTACCGGATGTTACCTAGAAGGCTGAATCAAACTATGGGTAATATTGTAAGTTTTCCTATTGTATGAACTACTACACAATTCACACTGAATTTATTCTTTTTTAAATCCCTCTCCTGATGCTTTCTGTCACGTTAGTGACTGCACAAGAAAACTTGCTCACCTGGTTGTCTTTTGCTTCAAGAAGCCCTCTCTTACTTTTTTTCCTTCATCTAGGTGCTCTTTGTTTTATAAAATTACTTCTGTAATGGATCCTGGATAACATCTCTTTTCTGCCTTTTTCAGCACCATTCCTACAGGAGCTTCCTGGGCTTGACATGTCTCATGCAGATTTCCACCCGAACAGAAGACTTCATTATTGATACACTGGAGTTGCGCAGTGACATGCACCTTCTCAATGAGACCTTCACAGACCCTGGAATTGTGAAGGTCAGCTGCCAAATTGACCATAATTCCCACATTTTTTTAGTTTAAGCTTTATTGTTGTCTAAAG